CACCTTTACAGAAGGATCGAAAGCACTCGAAACCCAAAGGACGTACATGAGTGATGAAGACGATCGTCATGATACTTACGATGACTACAACGATTATGATAACCGTGATGGATGGAATGCCGATGAATCGCGATATACAGACGAAGAAATGGAAGAATACGAAGACTCTGCTGATGACGATGACTTGGTGGCAGAAGCCAATGAAGTGGAACGTCGAAATGAAGCGGACGGGACGTACGCAAGATCCGACGCTCGAGTCCCGAAGACCGAAGATCGGACGCTCGAGTCTCGAAGACCGAACAGTCGCGAGGATTTAACCGAGACAATCGGTTCCAGCGGCAAAACAACACTGATCGGTTCTCGCGACGACAGTACCCTGCGGATCACTTTTGTCGAAGACGATGCAAGTTCTGCAAACAAGTCCATGAACCCGGTCGGTGTGAAGTCTTCCAAGAATTGACTAAGGTGGTCCTTACTATGGTGGACAAGAAAGACATCGCGCCAGAATTCCAGACCCTACCCTTCGGTGAACCTTTATACTAGGCAGCCCGTCAGCTTTGACTGGGTTGGTCCAAAACGGGCTGCCACAGTTAGCAGAACCTGCGATTGAAGCTGAGTGCGTGTACGCTTGCGTGGGGGAATGCGAATGGCCAGTGGAGAGTGAGGTGAATTGTGTGATTTCGAAAGAAAATGGATTAGAGAGAAGTAACACCCTCGGTGAAGAAGATATTATGAGGGGTCCCGAAGACTCACTTGGAGTAAAGACAGAAGGAATCGTCTCAAGTGTAGTCCAGGAAACCCCAAGACGAAGATTAAACAAGGAAGTCCGACTACTGCCCGGTGAGAGAATGAGATGGTGGTCGGCTCAAAAGTTTGATCGGAGAGTGAGGATGCGGACAATGGTTGAAGGAGCAGTCAACGACCAGAGAACTCGAATACTCCTGGACACGGGAGCAAACGTGAGCATCGTGTAAGCACGATATGCTAAGAAGTTGGGTCTTCGCGATATCCCAAACCAAGATTGTAGCATGGATATCCAAGGAATTTCGAAAGAA